AGTCCTTCCATTACAGGGTTATAAGTAGTAGTAATAGTGATAGTAGTAGTGGTAGTACTTGTGGTAGCAGTGAGAGTAGTATTACTGACAGTAGTAGTGGTAGTTTCATTGGTGGTAATAGTGGTAATTTTAGTGGTATTTGTAGTTTAAGTACTAGCGGTAACAGGAGTCGCAGTATTATTCGTGGTAGCGGTGGTAATAGTGGTGTTAGTTGTACTGGTATTAGCAGTTGTAGTAGTACTGGCAGAAGTAATCGTAGTAGTAGGGTTATTAGTAGAGGTAATAATAATGGTGTTATCAGTGGAAGTATTAGTACTGGCAGTATTTGAAATAGCAGTGTTAGTAGCATTGGTAGTATTAGTGGTGGTAATAGTGGTAGTAATATTGGTATTAGTAGTGGAAGTACGAGTGGTAGCAGTAGTCACAGCAGCAGAGGTTTTATTAGTGCCAGCGTTAGTGGTAGTATTACTGGTAGTATTAGTCTTGGTTGTAGTGGTGGTATTAGTAGCAGTAGTAGTAGCAGTGCTGGTGGTAGAATTAGTGGTAGTAGTAGAAGTATTAGCAGTGGAAATAGCGGTGGTTGTAGTGGCGGTACTATTAGTGGTGGTGGTAGTATTAATTTTAGTTGTGGTAGTTGTAGCCCTGGTAGTTGTATTGGTGGCGTTAGTGGTAGCAGTAGTGTTAGTAGTAGTCGTGGTGGTAGTGGTAGTAGTAGTATCAGTAGTGATAGTAGTGGTGGTAGTAGTACTGATAGTAGTAGTGGTAGTAGTAGCGGTTTTAGGAGTCGTAGTAGTAGTGACAATAATAGTCTTAGTATTATTGGTAGTAGCAGTGGCATTAGTATCGGCAGAAGTAGTGTTAGTAGTATTGGTATTAGCAGTGGTAGTTTTAGTCGTCGTGGTAGTACTGGTAGTAGCCGAATAGCAGTGGTAGTAGTAGTGGTAATATTGGTGATGGTATAAGTGGTAGTTTTAGCGGTTTTAATAGTGGTGGAGTCAGTGGTAGCAATAGTGCTAGTAGGAGCAATGCTAGTAGTGGTACTAATATGGGTGGTAGTAATCTTAGTAGTAGTGGAAGTAGTAGTGTTAGTATTAGTGGTAGTAGTAGTGGTAGCATTTTCCGTAGTAATAGAGTAAGTACTACTCATATCCTTAGTTATAATAGTAGCGGTATTATTGGTGGTATTAGTGTTAGTAGTAGTCGTATTAGAAGTGGTAGCAGTATTGTTAGTGGTAGTAATAGTAGAAGTGGTATTAGTAGTAGTAGTGGAATTCGAAGCTGTATTATTAGTGGTAGTATTAGCGTTTGTAGTAGTGGTAATAGTTGTGGTGGTATTAATGGTAATAGTAGTGGTAGTAGTTGTGTTAGCAGTAGCGGCAGTAGTTGTAGTATTAGTAGTAATAGTAGTGGCAGCAGCAGAAGTGGTAGTAGTGGCAGTAGTAGCAATAGAAGTAACAGTGTAGTATTTGTGGTAGTGGCAATGTTAATGATAGTGTTAGTAGTGCTGGTAATAATTGTGGCAGTAGTAGTGGTGCTAGCATTAGCGGTACAACTAGCAGAAGTGGTAGTATTAATGGTAGTAGTCATGGCTGAAGTTTCGATAGTATTAGTGGTGGCAATATTGTTGGTGGTAGTGGTGGCAGAAATGGTAATCGTAGCGGTAGTATTAGTGGAGGCAGCAGTGATAGAATTATTGGTATTAGTAATGTTAATATTGTTGTTATAGGTAGTGATCGTAGTAGCGTAAGCAGCTGTGGTAGTATTAGTGATCTTAGTAGCGGTAGTAGTACAGTCAGTAGTAGTGGAAGTTGTTGTGGTAGTAACAGTGGTGGTATCACCGGTACTAGTAGTAATAGCAGTAGAGGTAGTAGTAGTTGTACTAGTAGTGGTAGTATTAGTAGCAGTAGTAGCGATGTTAGCAGTGGTGGTAGTATAGTAGTAGTAGCAATAGTAGTGGCAGTATTAGGGGAAGCGTTAGTAGTAATTGTGTTGGTAGTATTGGTAGTAGCAGTGGTAGAAGAAGTGGTAGTAGTACTGGTGGTACTAGTGGTAGTAGTTGTGGTATCAGTAGTGGTGGTAGTAGTGGGAGAATTAGTCGTAGTATTATTCGCAGTAATAGTTGTGGGATTGTTGGTAGTAATATTGGTATCAGCAATGGTGGTAGTATCGCTAGATATAATGGTGTTATTAATGTTAGTGGTAGTGGTATTAGCGGAGTCAGTGGTAGCGGCAAGGTAGGGGAATAAGCAGTCGTATTAGTAGCGTTAGTACTAGCGGTATCAGTAGTGGTGGTAGTAGTTTCGACAGCAGTGGTAGTAGTATTGATATTATTAGTGGTGGTAGTGTTGGTAGTTGTGGCGGTAGCAGTAGTGTTATTAGTAGTCGCAGCAGAGTTGGTGGTGGTAGTCGTAGTATGAGTCACGGCAGTGTTGGAGGTAATAGTTTTAGTAACAGTGGTAGTAGTAGTGATAGTATTATGGTAGTGGTAGTAGTGACAGCAGCAGTGGTAGTTTGAGTGGAATTAGTAGCGGCGTTAGTAGTGGTAATACAAGTGGTAGTAGCAATTGTAGTGTTACTGGTAGAAGTGGCAGTAACAGTTGTAGTGGTAATAGTGGTTGTAATAATGGTAGTAGTAGTAGCAGCAGCGGTAGCAGTAGAGGTAGTGGTGGTGGAACTAAGCTTAGTGGTAGTAGTATTGGTAGAAATAGTGGTTGTGGTAGTGGCAGTAGTACTAGTATTAGTAGTAATAGTAGTGATAGTAACAGTGATATTAGAAATGGTGGTAACGGTTGCACTAGTAGTGGTAGTAGTTATTTTGGTAGTAGTCATAGTAGTGGTAGTTTAGGATTTGTCCTGGTGCGAACTTGACAGACGCAAAGACCAATCACTAATTATTCGAACTTGTTATATACCCACGAATACGAGACCAAGGAAGAACACGATAGCGTAGTCGGATGGAATAGTATATTTGGATGGTTGTGCCAAGATACCGATGCGTTCCAACTAACTGGCTAGAGAGTCGAATACGAGCAGTGCAACGTAACACGACAGCGTGCCAAATGGCGAGGATGCTTGACCGTGTGCCTTCAGCTTAGCAAGTCTAGTTAAACTATCAAGGTCAGCATCAATGTTGAAAGTCGTCAACCCTAGGCTATTGATTTTGTGGAAGTGTGTGACTCTACAGTAGTACTGGCATTAGTAATTGTAGTAGTGTTATTATTAGTGGCAGTATTGGTGGTAGTAGTTGTGCTAGTACCACTGGTAGTAGTAGTAGCGGTGGTAGTAGTCGTATTAATAGTAGTAATATGAGTAGTAGCAGTCGCAGTATTAGTCGTAGCAGCAGTGGTAACATTGATGTTATTGGTAATCGTGGTAATAGTAGTAAAAGTAGTGGTATTATCATTGGCAGTAATGGTGGTATTAGTAGCATTATTAGTAGTAATGGTGGTAGAAGAGGCAGTAGTGGTAGTGGAAGTACAAGTGATAGTGGCTATATCAGTGGAAGTCTTAGAATTAGTGGTAGCATTGGTGGTAGTAACACTGGTAGTAGTAGTTGTAGTAGCAGTGATAGTAGTAGTATTATTGTATTAGTAGCATTAGTGGTAGCAGTATGCGTTGTATTCCCAGTATCAGTTTCAGTGGTATTAGTGGTGGTAGTAGTGGTACTAGTAGTAGTATTAGTAATAATAACAGTAGTAGTGGGAGTGATATTCGTATTGGTATTAGTAATGGCACTTATAGTATTAGCAGTAGTTGTAGTGGTAGCAGTGGTGGCACTGTTAGTGTTGGAAGCAGTGTTTGTGGTAATATTAGTGGTAGTAGTAGTGGCAGCAGTATTCGTAGCGGCAATGCTAGTAGTAGTCGAAGTAATAGCATTATTTTTAATAGTAGTAGTAGTGGCGGCAGAAGTAGTGGTATTAATAGTAGTGGTAATACTGGTAGAGTTGGCGTTAGCGGTAATGTTAGTAGTGGTAGTAGTAGTAGTAGTAGTAATATTGGCATTAGTAGTTGTATTGATAGTATTATTGGTAGCAATAGTGGAAGTAGTAGTTGTAGTCGCAGGACTATCAGTAGTGGTAGTGGAAGTAATACTGGTGGTAGTAATGGTGTAGTTTGTGGCAGTGATATTAAAAGCAGTAGTGTTAATAGTAGTGGCAGTAGCAATAAAATTAGTAGTATTAGTGGCAGCAGCAGAGGTTTTTGTTGAGATAGTGGTGGTTGCATTGGTAGTAGTAGTAGTATTCGTTGTAGTAATGGTGGTAGTAGTAGTCGTAGTGGTAGTGTTAACAGAAGTAGCAGCGGTAGTAGTAGTGGTAGTAGAAGTAGTAGTAGGAGTAGTGGTATTAGTGGTACTATTATTGGTATTGGCAGTAGTATTAGTGGTACTGGTAGTTTCAGCGGAATTAGTAGTAGTGCTAGAAGTAGCGGTGTTGCTCGCGCTAGTGACAGCAGCAGCGGTAGTATTAGCCGCATTAGTAGTGTAGAAGCAATGGTAGTAGTAATACTGGAAGTAGTAGCACTAGTAAGGGTGGTAGAGATACGAGTAGTGGTGGTGAAATCGGTAGTATTAGTGGTAGTAGTAGTAGTGGTGCCAGCAGTGCTAGTGGTAGCGGCAGTAGTAGTAGTTGTAGTATTGCTGGTAATTATGGTAGTAGTATCATAAATAATAGTAGTGTTAGTGTATTGCTAGTAGTAGGAGTGGTAGCAGCAGTAGTAGTAGTAATACTGGTAGTGGTATTCGTAGTGGAAGTGGTAGAAGTGGTAGTACTAGTAGTAGTATCGGGAGTAGTAGATGCAGTAATACTGGTGGTGTTAGTTGTAATAGTAGTGGTAGTGTCAGTGGTGATGGCGGTAATGCCAGTAATAGTGGTTGTCGCAGTGGTTGTAGTATTAGTAGTAGTGGTAGTAGTAGTAGTAGTAATGTTAGTCGTAATTGTAGAAGTAGTATAAGTGGCGGTATAATTAGTGGTAGCTTTAGTGTCAGTTGTAGTGGCAGTTGCAGTCGTATCTGTAGTAGTAGTAGTAACATTAGTGTTGGTTGAAGTTGTAGCCGCAGCAGTAACGGTATTAGCAGTGTTATTAGTAGTAGAAGCGGTGGTATTAGTGGTAGCAGTAGTAGCAGTGGTGGCCATAGTAACGGTGGAAGTACTAGTAGCAGCAGCACTAGCAGCAGTACTAGTAGACGCAGTCGTGATCGCAGTAGTAGTGGTAGACGCAGACGTAGCAACAGTCTCAGTAGTAGTCGTAGACGTAGGTGTAAAATACCTTCGGAAACCCCCTATTTTTAGTCTTTCTTTACCGTGAACACCGCTAAATGTAGGTGGACAATATTCAAATAGTGGGCGTAGGCATGGTATTAATACCAGTAACCTGGCGCCTTTGAGATGAAAGTTGAGGGTTACATAAACCTTCATGACCCTAGATCTGAGGATCTGTGATGCGACCTGTTCAGAAAATGTGGGATCACTTCACTATTTTAGGCCAAGATCACATACATTTGTAGCGTCACACACTTCCACAAAATCAATAGCCTGGGGTTCGACGACACTCAACATTGATAGTTAAACTGGACTCGCTAAGCTGAAGGCACACGGTCAAGCATCCTCGCCATTTGGCACGCTGTCGTGTTACGTTGCACTGCTCGTATTCGACTCTCTAGCCAGTTAGTTGGAACGCATCGGTATCTTGGCACAACCATCCAAATATACTATTCCATCCGACTACGCTATCGTGTTCTTCCTTGGTCTCGTATTCGTGGGTATATAACAAGTCCGAATAATTAGTGATTGGTCAAGTTAGCGCCAGGACAAGTCATAGACTGGTGAACCCTAAGTGACAACATATCCCGACCAATCAAATATATCGAATTCGTGAGCCTGCTCTATTTTATACTTGCATATTGTTTTCATTTTGATAACATTTATGTATCCATTTACTACATTTTCCCATGTCCGACCACACTCCTAAGCTTATTCGTATTAAGCCGACTACGAACATGATCCAACTCGTGCCATATTGACCAGACAATGCAGAAACATGGTTTCTGTATGCCGAGGCATATTTTCGAGAACAGCGCGTCTCAGATCCTCATTCTGGACTTCTTGATGTCATACATTCACTGCCGCGAGAATTAAACATGTACGTTACAGCACACATATTTAATCCTGAAGTAAATTATCCTTATGCACTTCTCAAGGCCGCACTCTTGAAGAAAAGCGATCTCACAGATCGCCGGCGCCTAGACGAATTGCTGCATAACACCGAGCTAGGCAGCCACTGAAGTCCTCGCACGCACGCGAGAAGTTATGGGTGCACGAACATTCGACAATGGCCTTTTCCGAGAACTATTTCTCTCGAAACTACCACAACCGGTGCAAACCATGTTGGTGACACTGCAGTCAGTCCCACTCAATGACCTAGCAGCCTCGGCAGATAAAATACTGGAGATTTCTAGCAGACACGTCTCCAACGTATATTCTGTCTGCGACAAACCAGAGAGCCAGAATTCAGAGGTGACCGAGCTGTGCAACTCTGTTAAACAGTTGCTACGATCTCGAAGTCCTAGTTCACATACTCTACAGAAACGCATCTTAGTGCATCACAGCAACTCACGTGGTTGCCCCAAAACTAAACCTAACAGGGTGGAAAACCCTGAGTGGTGCTGGTTTCATCATACTTACAGAGACGAAGCCAGAAAATGTCGGAAACTATGCAGTTTTAACAAGGACACAAACTCGGGAAACGGTCACACCGGCACATGTTCACGGCAAACGTGGCCGGCGGAAACAGCCGTCTGCTCCACGTCACGGATATTGAAACGAAAGTTCGCTATCTCGTCGACACCGGCGCAGAAGTTAGCGTTCTTCCCGCACCGACAAACCAGCGCCATCATGACCCATCCTCCAATCTCCAGGCAGCCAACGGCAAGGCGATCGCGACATTTGGAAGACGGTATGCCTATCCCAACTTGGGTTTACGTAAACCTATCCACTGGATTTTCCTCCTGGCTGACGCTTCTATGCCCATCATTAGCATAGATGTGCCAAACCATTACGACCTACTCGTAGATGCTCGCCGTCGACGTCTGATAGATAACAACACAAATTTATCTATTGGCGGCACCACCTACGTAGGTCCGAGTTATGCTATCGTTAGAACCAAACAATCAGGCGATGCGTCCTACCAAGCGGTTTTGGAGAAATATCCAGAGTCGCAACGACCGCAGCATACTCTCCCGTGCATAACCAGCAATGTTATGCATCACGTCACAACCTCGGATCCGCCTGTGGCATCCGAAGTGCGGCGTCCATCCTCTGATAAGCTCAAAATGGTGAAGGGTGAATTCGACCACACGCTCGAACTGGGCATAATCAAACCTTCAAATAGTTCTTGGGCATCACCACTGCACATGGTTCCCAAAAAGGATAGCAACGACTGGCGTCCAACCGGTGGTTACCGAAGGCTTAACGCCAGAACAATACTGGCGGCTAGCTCAATTATCGAAATTCTTGACGATGTGCCTGGTAATGCACAGTTGCAACAACCATCAGTGCAACAGAAAACACGATCAGGTCGAACCATCAGGTTCTCGGAGTATCTGAAGTCGCATTCAACTTGGGGGTGTAAAATAAAACGTGCCAAATATATTCTTTTTAATTCAACATTTTTTCGGGGCACCATCTTTCGTATTTACCGGCAATGCGAAACTCCTCGTACATTTTGCCTTTTTACGTCAACTTGTTTACTACTACCATGTGATGAAAGATTTTGAAAAAAGGATATAAGCGTAAACTTTATTTCGATATATTTGTATATACATAATTCCCATTTTTACAAGGCGTTTTCATGGTATTAAAGACTCTTACTTATATTCCAGGTGCAACGAGCACTGCAGGGAACGTCAAAGTAGACTGACGACCGCGATCGACGTACAATTCGATTTTTCAATTGCCACGACACCCTAGAACAAGTTCAGACGGTCAGAGGCCACTTCACACAGTGAGCCCATCGGGAGAGTTTCACCAATGGAGAAACTACTGGGCTTCTGCTTCTGGCTGGTATCGTCTTAGGGTCCTCACGGACCCACTAGGGGGGAGTGATCTGTAGCGTCACACACTTCCACAAAATCAATAGCCTGGGGTCCGACGACACTCAACATTGATGCTGACCTTGATAGTTTAACTGGACTCGCTAAGCTGAAGGCACCCAGTCAGACATCTTCGCTATTCGGCACGCTGTCGTGCCAGACTGAAAGAAAGAAGATTTCACATCACATAAAAACAGTTCACTTTGTGCTAAATTTCGCATCACTGGAACTGTATGTTAAAACCATAGCCCAGCATGTAGTGGTCTACGTCGAAGGCAGTTTGAGCTGTAAACCTGGATACCCTTTCTGGAAAAAACGCTGTTGGTAATGGTATGTGACTGGTGAATAGGACAAGTTGTTGTCCATTTATCATTTTAAGGAACATTTCGACCGCAGAGGCAAAAGAAGCTTCCTTTTGAACGTGACTGTAATTGAGTTTTGCGGACGTCAGTCAGTGGGAGGCATCGGTGACAGGCATCTTGAAATCACCTGCGAAAACGTGAAGTGTTACCCCACCATACCGTGATATGGAGCACTAGATATAACCACGTGGGTAGGGGTTGGCCATGGTGGGTGGGATTCAATTGTGCGGTTAGTATAAGCCTAATTTTATCAAGTAAACTCTTACAGTCAGCTAAACAAATCCATTTCGCGTTCTTCAGCAGTTATACATTTAGAAGCTGTGGGCACGACAAAGATCAGGTAGGGATGCATCCCAAAGAGCTCCTAGATCCAGAACAGAAGGCGGTAATAATGATGATAATATATTTCGGATAACAAATTATACGAGCGCATACCATTTTTACAGGTAATATTTAAATGTTATTTCCTTATTGAAGCTTTAAGCATTTAGAAAAAGACAAATCATCTTGCCATACAAAGTCTTCCGGAGTAAACAATTTTTTGGACATTGCTGGCCACAAATATTGGACGAAAGCGATTTCGTTAAACAGTTTCGTACCTGTTACGTGTTACATGTAGTTGTCATCATACTGAAGGAGGAGATTATATCTCACTAGCCCCTTGTGAGTATTGATGGTCAGAAGTTCTCCGGGATTCGTAAATGTAATTCGGACGAGTCCAACTTTGTGAAATAATTGCCACCACTCAGTTTCGTGAATGAATCCTTGGGTACTGCCAAGGATACTGGTGATTTCTGATAGCAGTATTCATTTCTGCAGATTGGTCCACACACAGGCGCACAGTGCCGTTCGCCTATGTCACAGCGACAACTGAAGCTTGCCATGATGAAAAATCTGCTGGCCCAACTAAACTGGCTGACATAAAGCATTCGATTTCTTGCCATTCGGTTAATGAAACTGTATGTGATACTGCCCTTTAAAACTGAAAAACAGGGTATTTGGTTGTGGGTGATAATGTGGAAAATGTTAGTGCTTGGTTTCATTTCGTCTGCGGAAAGACGAAAATGCTGCCTTAGTAAATCGTGAACTACTATCAACTACCTTAGTTTCGTGGACGGGGATAAGACTGACAAGTTTCTGCGGGAAAACATTTGCAGTAAACCAGGGTCTGGTCACGTTGGGCCAACAGCGCAAACGGGCTTTCACGTGGTCCCGAGGCAATTAATAATGATGGGCCCCGATTCAAAAGGCTATCTTGCTCCAACTCAGACGATGTTTAGGATATGTTGTTGACGTCTCACGTGCTAAAAGCTAGAGCAAAAGTAGGGATACTATCAGATATCACAGACCGCGAGGGAGTATCTGTCAAGAAACCCCAGGCGACATTTATGGGAGCACCTTAGGAGAAGGAGCCTGATAATATAAGACACATCTGATAACCCCGGCAGCGAGGACATTCACTGAGTTTTGCGGTAGCGGAGGGGAGGGACGTTAAACACTGTACAGGTAAGCCTCGTTTAGACAGGATCCCAAGCCCATTCCTGAGTAACTGGCCAGTCCTTTTGACGGTGAAGACTGCTCCAGGATAGCGTTCCAAGTAGACAGCATAAACTGCATCCGTACAACGCCCACAGTTTATTTGTTGAACTGCAGGAACTAAGTCAGGACACCTGTAAATATAAATATAAATGTTTTATTTTTAGATTAGTAACTTGACGTGAGAGAAGCCAGCTTACAGGCATCATCACATTGATATATGTCGACGAATCTACAAGATCTTAAGAGTCCTGAACGGTACACAGGGTGTGTCGTTAAACTATTAGAAACACCGGAAAATTCTGCTATTTATGAAACAAGCAAGAAAACATCTTTTTTCAGCTTATACGGAGTGTTAAAGTTTGGATAATAATAGCTGTCATCCTCACATAACGGATTTAACATGACAGATATCGGGTGACAGGTATCATAAGGTTGATAACTCTTGAAAGTTCACAAAATGATGGTCGGTATTAAATAATTCGCACACAAAGTCACTAATGTGCATAATCTATTTTAAAACTTGCTGAAATTCATGAGATGGGCACGGATTTTCATATCCCATCATACAGATAAGTTCCACTGCCAGGAACAAAAGCGTTGT